GTTAGCATATCGCGTAGGATAATTTTTAATAGTAGAATTTCTCTTATAAAATTCAGCCGATATTAACTAAAAAAGACCATTAGGGACGTCGCTACTTTAGGTCGCTGTAATTATAGAGTACATCGATATTATCCTTCTCCTTCTTAGCTACGAGGAATCTTTATTAATTAATAACTAAGGCCCTTACTCCTTTACTACGCTTATATTTACGTTAGCTTAAGGTAGATTTAAAATTGCTAAAATATTATTAGAGTATCCTAATATAAATATAAATACGGTAGATAAGCAGGGGAGAACATTATTCTAGTAGGGTACGGCTAGTGGGCATTATAAGGTTGTACAGTTGCTAGCTAATCAGCGTGGTCTGAAAAAACGACTAAAAGATTTAAATAGCTAGACAGCGTATACTATCGCCAAGGAACGCAACCATAGGCATATCAAGGTTTATTTGCGAAGCTTCTTAGGCTCAGCTAGTTTATAGAAAGAGATTTTAATTAATATATTCACAGCGATCGGGTTCTCTAAGTGCAATACGGTACTATAACGGCAGACTTTGTCACCGCGGCCTATTGTCTACTACTCATCATTCTCTAGTGATAGCGACCAAGGACAGAGCTAACGAGCCCATCTCTAGTCCAGGATATTAGCAGTGCGACGGCTTGTGCTAATCCTACCTAAACTAGAAGGAAGGACTGATATACAATTGACGACATATATTAGATTATCAGCTTACGTTAACAGGAAGTATACAACAAACTGATTGAATGTATATATCAGACGCACAGGGTTAGCGAAGTACGACAGTCCGCTAGCTGCTTCTGCGTCCATGACCACCCTGAAAAACTCACAACCGCAAGAAAAACAACATTCTCGGAGCTCCATGTCAGTTCATCGGAAGTCATGAAATTGACTGGGCCATCTGCTTGGACAGATGCCGTCTTCCGACAATTGCAGCAGTATGAGCCAGATTTTACGTCGTTAAGCGACTTGAGTGGATTGACGGAACCGAGGCTTGTGGGGGATATCCTGATACTGCCAATCGATGGGTTTGGGATGGGCCAGTCACATTCCAACAGTACGAATGACGGATCAATTCCAGAGGAGGCATTCGTACAGCATAAGTTTCGAGGATCGTGGAGGCATGAAAAGAGGTTAAAGCAGACATGAATATTGAAGACAATGGAATTTGCAGATGCTCAAACATGGAATGGACCAGAGAACTTGTTATTAAATGGTTCCTCTCTGTCCATAGACAACTTCAGTCTTCGGCGCTACTGTCAGCAGAAATACGATGAGAGTGTCAATGGAGGGAGAGCCATGAAAAAACCCATTCTCACGGACCTGCCGTCCTCTCAGTCATAGGTCTTTGGTAGGAGAGTTCTTCCAGAAGCGTATCCTTGCTATTCTAGGAGTGAATATCTCCCGGGTTACCCAGAGCGACGGCGCCGTCCATGGCATAAAACTGGTAGAAAAGCCAGAAAAGAACTCTGTAGGCAGGCTTGTCGAACAGTTTTCCCTGGCTAATCCAAAGATCCTTCTTGTGTCACCGTAACCACCGATTTGCGGGCCCGATTTTTTTGTGTCCTAGTTTCCTAAGGGCTATGGCAGAGTTGCTGGATTTGACCAAACCAACACTGGTAGGACCCATAAATAGTACTTTTAGCATATCTATAACGAAAAGTAGGCTGCAATGCCCAAATATCTCAGACACTAGATAGAAAAAAAATATAGCAAACTTGCATACTTCAACATATCGTGTCTCAACTATAAAGTCCATGAAATGAGGACCCAACATGTGTAAAAAACGAGCTCACAATTTGGCAAATAAACAATCTTTCGGTTACATCTCACAAAATGCTCAACAATAAGCCGGTCGGTTTGCGCAGGAGCAACGGTTAACAGCAAGTAGAAAATATCAACCTCGACGAGCGGTAACTAAGTAATACTCCAGAACACATTGCTAAATTTGACCAGCCTTTAGACATACTAACGACCGTTCGTTAAATACGGTCATCAAACTGCAGGAGGCTGGTGACCCTCCGAGGCTTTTACCGAAAACCAAGAGCACCCGGCCAGAGCAACATAGGCTGCTACAAACATAATGTGCTGGTGGAGATATTGTCTTGACCTGCCCTCAGAAACAATATGGCCTGTGCTTTAGACCTACCATTTTTCTCAGAATCTCGCGAAAACTTTCACACAATCGCACAGCATCTCGAGAAGCTGTCCCGATATACCACGTGAGTAGTCATATAAATTGAACGTAAAATCATCTCTATAACCAAACAACACCCATATTTGAAATCCTCTAATGGCCATTGGGATTTGAATGCTATCGATCGCTGGATGAACGACCTTATTCGAAGCTAAGAGTCAGTCAATAAATTAACATTTTTGCTGTAACTTTGCCGCCTGTATGAGGAATCAGATCCTAGCTCGAGACAAACAAATTGCTCTATAATTCAGTGCCTCTTTGAAGATATAAGCTGCTCCAGCCAATACCTTGGAAAGGGCTGGACTCCTTCTGGAAAAACGGCAATAATGAAGAATGTTTCTTCATTACTAGGTACAGTATGGATCGAAATCAGTTTCACCACTTTACTCTCGTGAGATCTTTCTTGTACCCCATTCCGAAACACGCTAATCTAGTTTAGGCTGAGCCTATTTTCAAATGCCGAATCGTATTGAAACTGGCTCTCACGTGATGTGAGGCTCTATAAATTACCTGTAATGTTCTTGCAAACCCTATTGACAGTATTCTTTTGTATCACCTTGCCTGGCAGAAGGCAATATCAGAATGACCAGGATTCCTGATTCCTGATCATTCTTTTCGGACCATATCCAGATGCAGAATCTGGTCCGGAACTCCTTCGGCGTAAAGAGGCATCTCGTATTGATATTGTGTCGACCGGATCTACCAAATATGTAGCTTGATTGGAATAAAGGGTGGGCCTACGAGTCACAAAAGCTCAAACACGGTCAAAAGCCCCACCACCTTTCTCCGCACAGACTTTATCTAGTAAACAAACAATCACTTGTTCTTCTTGCTCCTAACGCTCAAGGGGAATATCCTAACAATCCTGGATTATGTTTCTGAAACAATTTTATTGTACGCGCTGCGCAATCAGCTTTAAAACTTTCTTCGCGAGGCTGCAACATATCTACGACTCTCCATATCATCATATCTGCTACATTTGTTTCCTACCACAAGATTTCGCGGAGATGGTTGAGCTTGATGAGTACCTCGGAACTGAACACAACTACTGTATCTCCTACGACATCCAATTTGAAACAGCCCAAAAACTAGCGCAGCAGAGGAGAGCACAACACGTGTGTCACCTGTCGACAATTCTTCGGTTCTCGATTAAGTTTGTCCAATGTTAGTTTATATCTAACTTCCCACTACGTAGCAGGCAAGATTCTAAAACATTTTATAGCAAATTACCATCTATATTTAAAAGCCATCTTTTAGTGTGGATGATACGCCAAACGTCTAATAACTATTGCACCTCAGGTGGCAATATGTGCGGACTTGAGTTGCTTATATGTTGGTTGGCCACGAATTCGAGCGATGAAGTAATAGAGACTAAAGAATGAACAGTGGACCTGGTTCCTTCATCCATCAATGTGGGCCGAGAACAGTAGATTTTAGAATTCTTGCTGAAACCTTGTGATAAACGGTGGCTGGATATAATACAGCGGGGGGCGAAACTTTATGATATTGAACGTCATTGTAGTTAAGGAATCAAGTGACAAGTAGCTGTACAGGATAAGTGCAAGATGGCTCGAGTCGTGATATGGCGCCCCGAGTAGAATACTTCCAATCATCTCAATTGAATGATAGCTTATTGTATCCAAAACATATTCATGCGTTTTCGGCAAGTACTACGTAACACTGAATGTATCAGAGGTGCAAGGAGCCGAGCTGAGAAAACATGCCGGGACAATTGCCACCCCCCAAAATAATAGAGAGCTTTGCTAAAACGTTTTATATGAGTCAAAGTGCAGATCGAGAGCAATAATTCCTCATCAGGACACTGTTCACCTCAGACTGAATTTCACTTGTTGATGACCCCGCTCGCACAGTATTGATGATATTACGGACGTCATCATCACCAGAGTCCTAGATTGCCCTTAAAAAGTCGTTTAAAAACCTTTGGTAGTGACGGAGTTCTGCTTCTATTTTACTTGCGTGACTCTTGCGTCGCTTGTCGGAGCTCATATCGAACACGCAAATAGAGCCACGCTTCGTGCATTCCAAGCATAGATTCTCAGAACTGCACTGTCGTTGAAAACCAATAAGTAAGCATCTAAGTATATAATATAATCCAGGATCCTTTACCTTGGTCCGCCGGCGCTGACATTCTTTGCAGGCTACTGAGAGTCTTCGCATTAGGTGGTCTCGTACCGGGGGTTTCCCCCGTTGATCAGATATTAAGGGTTTGGTAGCTGGCGTATAAGGCTGGATAGGCTTGAATCGTGAAGTAGACATCTGTATCGTGTGCTTGGTATTAGTATAGACGCGGCGGGGGTTAGAGGTCTGCGTAAGAGAGGTGGCCATGCGCATATCACAAGCAGTAAGAATGGTGGAGGCCCGGGGAAAAAAGAGGAGCCAGGCAGACTTATTGCTGACTCAACATTCTAGACTCGCCTGAAGACCTTACGCTCTGATACAAGAGCTATTTTAAGCTGTTATTTACAGCTGTACAGAAATAACGCCAAGGAAGGGGTTCAAGGACAGTAACTGCAATAGGTATAGCGTGTTTCACCAGAGGGTTTGAGAGATAATCTCAGTGAGAAAATGGTGAAACTGATTTCGATCCGCCCTGTAGTATGAGATGCCTCAGGATCCTGTAACAATAGACTTCCTCGACCCCCTGTAGCCTGGGAGTTGGGACGAGGACGCTTCTGAATCCCGTTGAGGAATCTACGGTGTGATTAAGGTTATTGTGATATAAATTTGTGGTGTTGTGAACCGAGCGGAAGCTTACCCCTAACCGATGGCGGACCCACCCGCGGGAGGGCCCGAGACCCCTCCCACAAACACCCAAGAAACCACCGCCAGCCTCACCGAGGAAGATTCCATAGCCAGAACCGCCACCGCGAACCGGAAGCGAACCCGGAGTGGAGATGCCTTCGCCCCGTCGGATCCAAACGGTCGAATCACCACCAAAGAGGTGTGGAAACTGATCAGCACGCTGAAAGACATCATCCGCCACCAAACAGCGACCATCTCAACCACCCAAAATGAACTCCAGGAGATCAAACACAACCAGAATGTCCTCTAGGAACAGAACGAGAAATCGCACGATGAGGTGAAAGCACTGCGAGCATAAACCGAGGCCACTCCACCGGTGACAGCGAACAGGACCTGGGCCACCGTCACAGCTGAGGGCGGCAATGGCACCTCCCCGCTTAACCCTAACGAACCGAGAAAGACTAGGATTGCGTCCGAATCAGCACCCAGAGGACCTTTGTCGACCCAAGAGACAAGAATAACAATGACGGAAATACTTTCGGACGATATCTCCCTATCGATGCGACCAATAACCACATTCGCACTGCATTGCAGAGCGATGCCATGACGCAAGACGCCCAAGTGGCCGGCATCGGTACCACTAAAACCGGCTACATCATTCGATTCAAAAACACGGAGTCAGCTGGCCCGTAACAACGCCGAGTGGCTTCATAAGTTGGGCAATAACACAAAGCTGGTAAAACCGCGATTTGGAGTCGTTGTACACCGGGCTCCGACAGAGGAATTCGATCTAGTGACGGGACATATCTAGGCAGCAGAGGAAATCATCGACGACAACGGCTTAGCGGAGCACGGCTTCTAGATCGACGAGCTGGCCTGGATGAAAGCGAAGGACAAGCCGTTAGGAAAATTCGCCTCACTAGGAATATGGTTCGACTCGCCAGAGGGAGCGGAGCATATACTTTGGAGGCGGTTCCTTATTAACGGGCAACTCATCACTACGGTTGTACGACGCGAAATCAAGAAGAAGAGGTGCTTCCGATGCTAACGGTTAGGCCATCTAGCATGGCTATACAAGGAAACGCCGCGGTGCGGTCACTGCGCAGGCCAACATTAACGGGAGCGATGTCCACTAGGGGTGAGAGCCCGGTGTCTTGATTGTAGCGGTGAATACCCTACGGGCGATCGACAGTGTCCAACACTATCGACCTTCAACCCTACCAGATGCTAGAGAAGAATCTCCACATCCTACAGTTGAATATGATGAAATCCGGACCGAGAATGGAAGCACTGATCAACGATCCCTATAGCTTAGAGCTGGACATTCTGCTGATCCAGGAGCCATCTATTACCACCTATCGCACGCATGTTAACCACAGCGCCTGGCGACTATACCGGCGTACGATATAGACCGACGCCGTTCGGTTTCGTAGCCTTATCTACGTTAACAGAAGAATCTCTACCTCCTCACACCGTTAAATACCTTGCGACCCCCCGGATATTGCAGCTATCAAGATCTGGACAGCCGACTCTTAAACCATTATCTTTTCTGTCTATATACCTCCAGTACCGCTTTTTACGGGCGATGATGCGTCAGCATTGCTAGCCCTTACTGCGATACAAAACTCCATCACAACTGCTACACAAAACGAGTAACGCGCGACTAGTATTATTGTTTCTGGTGATTTCAACCGATATCATCCGATGTGGGCAATAACCATACCCTACCTAGACTTATCGAAGACGCTAGCGACCTGATTGACTTTTCTAAACCTATAACCTCCACAGCTGTCTCCCGCGAGGAACAGCGACTTACTGGGCCTTGAATAATCTAGGACAAAGCTCGACTATCGATTAGATAGTACAAATAACCCGGAACTACTTGTTAAATGCCATCTGTACTATGAAAACTACGGGTCAGACCACCGCGCGACGTATTCGGAATGGAATATTCAACCTCAGAATAAGCCAAATAATAAAGCGAGAAAAGTGTATGATCGCGCGGACTGGGCTAGAATCGGCGAGGAGGTAGCCCGACAGACGGGCCCCTAGAAAGGCATTAAGACCCGGCTAGGACTCGACCGAGTTGTGGAGAAACTCATATCAGCTACAGCCCAGGCTGTGGACCAGCTCACGCCCGACACTCGCCTAAAACTATACTCTAAACGGTGGTTTATACCAGACCTGAAGGTCTAACAAGTCGAAGGGAATTAACTGCGTAGAAGATGGCAGGCAAGCTGTGCGGAGCTTGGACGAGAACATGTCAACACTATTACAGCCTTTTAACTTAAGTAACAAAAGCGCCGAGCGTGGATGTGGGCTATAGAGAAGGCCAAAGCTTCGTATTGGAGACAGTTCCTAGACGAGGCCGGCGAAGGAAAGCTCTGGAAAGCTGCCACATATATGAAACCTCGAGAAATATGGGGGTGTATCCTAGCCCTGAAGGTTGGCTCGGAGGAGGTCTAGTGCGATTGACAAAGCCTGGTACAAACACAAGGTGGTGACGTTAATCGCATTCGATCTCAAGGGCGCCTTCAATGGGGTGAACCGGGTGAGTCTGGATGCCTCGTTACAGACGAGAGGTATTCCAATGGTAGCAAGGAAATGGATCGCGAGCTTTATGAGCGGTCGACACGCTAATATTGGATTTGACGACTTCCGCACCGAGACCGAGCTGCTGGTGAATGCAGGCCTAGCGTAAGGACCACTACTCTCCCCTATCTTGTTTGCATTCTTTAACGCCGATCTGGTCGTCTAGCCCGTCGACTCCTACGGAGGCGCGTTAGCATTCATTGACGACTACTTCCGATAGCGAGTGGGTCGCTCGGCCGAGGAAAACTTAGCTAAGATACAGTCCGAGGATGTTCCTCGTATAGAGGAATGGGCGCGACGAACAGGATCGTGCCTTGCGGTGGAGAAAACCGAGCTCATCCACCTTACCAGAAAGAGGGGAGAACACTTAGAAGGGAGGACCACCTTCGATGGAGCCGACGTCAAACCATCGCCTTTAGTCAAACTGCTGGGGGTGGTGTTTGATTAGGAACTTCGGTGGAAGGAACACGTTTAGCAGGCCATCAAACGTGCTACTAAGACGACCGTCGCTTTAAGTGGTCTACGCCACTTACGCTAAGAGTAAATGCGTTACGCCTATTATAGACTATGCATCAACGGTCTGGCATGACCCGCTCCGGGATAAGACTCACCTGCGACACTTGAACATAGTTCAGAGAACCGTGTTGATTCGAATCCTATCGGCATTCCGAACGGTAGCGACAACAACGCTTGAAGTGGAAGCCTACCTACCCCCTACGTATCTCCGTCTTCGCTACCGAGCGCAACGCACTATAGCGACACTATACACTCCACCTCGTGCCTATCCCATTTGGAGCGCGTTATCGCGCGCCCAGAATCGTAGAAACAATTTGGGATCGTACGCGCGCTTTCCTCTTGCAGAAGCGCTGAAGACTATGGATGTCGATAGGCTGGATGAGCTAGAAACGATCGACCCAAGTCTATTACCACCGTGGCGAGCAAACGCATTCTCGGAAATTGAGCTTGGAAGCGATCGAGAAATAGCGAGAGGAAGGGCAGATTTAGTGAGAAATATGTCTGATATTGTTGTCTACTCGGACGCTTCCGGACGTGAAGACTATCTTAGAACTGCCATCGTCGCACTCAACGACCAGGAAGAGGTGGTGGAATCTTAACAGGTGCAGGTGGGCCCGATGGAACGCTGGTCGGTCCACGTAGCAGAGCTTATTGGTATCTTCTACGCGGTCGATATGGTGTTTAAGCTAGCCTACCGGCGTACAAATGCCGGAGATGGAGTACGGTCAACGGCAATAATCTTATGTGACAGCAGATCGGCCTTGCAATTATACAGGCAGCTTCCGAGGTTTAGGCAGAGAATATTAGACTCCGCCTCCAGTGGATGCCAGGACATTGTGGGAATTTTGGGAATGATGCAGCAGATCGACTTGCTAAGGAAGCCGCGCAACCGGGTAAAACCTATCCCTTCCGACCGCTACTATCGAGAGAGAACGCATCCGTCCGTAGTAAAATTTATGCCCAATGGAGTTAGGAGTGGAAGGAAAGCACCAAAGGCACGTGCTAACGGAATGCCCGAGGCTCCGTATGCTGCAGACGGAATTGAGAAGGAAAGTCGGGGACGCGATGAACAGCGTGTTGAGCCTGCTGGGAGGCTCAAAGGAAGGTGAGAAGGGTGAACCAGACACCCTCTCGAGGGCGAAGACGGTTCAGGCCGTATTGGACTTCGCCGAGGCGTCACAGCGGTTTCGTAGTCGTGCGCCATGAGGGCAGCCTAACAATAGAAGCGGCAGTGGGCCACGAAAGGCCGTGACGAGGCTCTAAGTTAGTGTCAGGAAGTGGATCACTCTACGTATATACATAATTGAAGATATATAGTTGTCGTATCCTGCATATCGTTCGCGAGGGGACAGGGTAAATGAAATCTACTACTACTACTACTACTACTACTACTACTACTACTACTACTACCTTGTAGTATGACCGGGCAAGCGAGGGGCACAAGGACGAATATATAATTTTGCAAACCACTGGAAAAGACGACGAGCTAGAAAGAGAAATAGATAATAACCCGAGAATCTCGAAATGCAGACACCTGGGTGTTGCAGACGCTGGTTCCCACTTAAAGATAATAAATTCACTCCCTCCTAGGAACCTATCGTCTTTAACGATAGCCCTTATTTTAGATCTTTCGGCCCTATAAATAAAGCTTCCATTTTAACAGCCTTAATCTAATCTTAAGAAGCCTTTCCTAGAATCCGGAGGGACTAGACTGCGACATCGCCCATGGACGGGCGGGTGGGCATAGCCCATGGGCCTTATGTAAGCTATCCATGGGCCTATCCATAGGGCCTATGGACGGGCCCTACCCTTAGGGCCCACGGGCCGTAGGCGTTATAGGCGCCTATAGGCCTTTTTAGTAAGCAAAATTTCTTAACCTCGTGACTTACATTATTTGTGCATTTTTTCTCTGTATTTTTAAGTAACTTAATTACATATACATTTTTTCTAACCTCGGTTAGAAAATTCGCTTTAGAAGCCTTTATACAATGATTTAATACTACTATTAAATTTCTGACTAAGGTTAGAAATTAGCTTTAGAAGCCTTTATATAATAATTTAACACAACTGTTAGTTTTTTAACCGGGGTCAGAAAATTGGGCTTTAGAAGCCTTTGTAAAATAACCTCAAGACTTGTATTCATTATAGCCATATATTTATACTAATATAATATAAATTAATTATCACTAGGCTTACCACGCT